TGGAATCATTTCAGATTTAAAGAACTTTCAGAAGTTTGAATTCTGAATGTGAGCGACTTTAAATACTTTTTATCTCAACTTTCATAAAAAGCAAACGGATGGTTGCCATGGCTCCCGCCGTCCTTAACAGCAGATCTGATGGTTGGATGATGATGATGATGATGATGAAGGAGCAGAAGGAATGGGCCCGAACAGATGTATAAAAACCAGTTTAATTCATCTCCAGACTGCAGCACCACAGGTGCACTAAGGAGCGTCATCACAGATCCCTCCTCCCTGCTGATCCTTCCATCCCAGATTATCAGCAACTGAAAAAGCTGCAGGTTTTTTCCTACTGCTGATGCAGAATCTCACTGATCATCTTCCAGATTATTCGCGTTTCGTCCCTCTGTGTGCGAACCTTTGGGAACCTAAAGGACTTCCTGTCCTGATCTCTAACTGCGCTAACCTTTAAAGCAGCGCAGCAGTGAATTCAGGCTCTGCTGTGTGACGGATCAAACACCAATATTGGTTCATTCATTTGTTTTGCTGGTTTCTGATGGAAAAAAAAAAAGGTCCATCTAGAACAAAAATATCTAGAGTCTGGGAAATGAGTGAAGACCTACAGAGAGAATCTCTGTTTTATGGACCATAAAATGATGGAACCTGTCAGGGTGTTTGCTGTTTCTCCAGCGGTCCTCCTGTCGGTGATGTGATCGTGTTTAGTTTCTCGCCTCCTCTGTTGGAGGAACAGTGTGAATAACATCCAGCAGCACAGAGGCGTTTGGTTATCAGCGGGATATTTCAGCTGCTGTTTGCGGCGTTGGGCTGCATGCAAAGGCTGCAGGTGGTTCTGGTTCAGCTCCCCCTCGCCGTGGACTCGTCTTCCTGCCTCAGACTCCCTGCAGGGATGTGAAATCGTCTCTGTGACCCAGTTTCAGTGTTTCCTCTGCCCTGTCAGGGGAAGCTCTCTGGGAGCCTCAGATGTGAAGATAACTGACAGCAGCTCTGAAGAACCAGAACAACAGAGAACCGCTGGATAGTTTCCATGTGACTGACGCAGTCCCTGCCGTTTCTAACGCATGCAGCTCTGGGAGTTTTAGGAGGAAATGAGGTCTGCGTAGAACCGCTGAATTAAAGACTACAGTGAACTACCTGCTTCATTTGGCTTCATTGCTCTGGATGGATGAATGAAGCCCAGCTGAGGCTGTCAGGTAGCAGCGCCACCAGGTCTTCCTGGGTTCATCCACCATTGCTCTGATGTCAGGACTCTGGCTCTAAGAAGACAAGCTGAGCTGGTCGGTTAGATGACGAGTTCTGATGGGTAAAATCTCAGGATCAAGGTGTAACCTGCAGCTTTCTGCTTGTTTCAGGCTGCTGCTGAAGGCCGGCATCGACATCAATAAGACCAGCAAGTCTGGAACAGCCCTGCATGAAGCGTCGCTGTATGGAAAAACCGAGGTGGTGCGGCTGCTGCTGGACGTGAGTCTGAGATCCACCCCCACTCATTCACCGCATGCAGCTTTACCTTTAACCCATAGAAAGGTGACATCGGGTGGGCTAATAGCAGAACTGCAACAGTTAGAGTCTTTAACGACCCCCCCCCCCTTCCAGAGACATAGACAGGTATGGGGCATTGCAGGCTAACAAAGAAGCCAAACGACCCCCATTCCTAAGGGGGGGACCCGTTCATCCGTTTCTATTTGCTTGTTTTCTAAACTAAAACCAGGCTTTGTTGGGCTGCTGGATAAAACCTGGAACTAAACGCTATTTCTGACATTTTGGATTGAAAAATCTTCTTGGATGGAAAAGAAACGTCTTCAGACTGGGAAACAAAGTCCAGAGGATTGTTTGAACTTTTTAAACCAGTTAGAGTCGGTAATAAAGATCAGGTGACTTTCAGGCTCTGATCTGAAATTATTTTCAGTGAATCAAAAGTCTCAGATGAAAAAATTATCAGAAAAGAAAAAGATCCAGTTCCACATTACAGTCTGTTATATGAAGGGTGTATTCTAGATCAGACGTATTCTAGATCAGACGTATTCTAGATCAGATGTATTCTAGATCAGACTATTTCTAGATCAGACGTATTCTAGATCAGACGTGTTCTAGATCAGATGTGTTCTAGATCAGACGTGTTCTAGATCAGATGTGTTCTAGATCAGTTGTATTCTAGATCAGATGTATTCTAAATCAGATGTATTCTAGATCAGACATTTTCTAGATCAGACGTGTTCTAGATCTGACGTATTCTAGATCAGATGTATTCTAGATCAGACCACCTGTCCCTCTGGAGTCACTATATGAGTCATTCTTAGTGTGACTGATGAATGTTGGGGTTTATTAGCGCCTCTTCTCACTCATTCACAGCCTGAAATGAATCACTCGCTGATTTAATGAGTGAGATAGCACTCTGTGTCCCGCTAGCTTGGCCAAACCTCAGTTAGTCTAGACTAACTTTAGCCGTTAGCTTGGAAGACAGTAACTAAACTAATTCATAAAAGTGTTTTGATTCAAGATCGTGGATGGCCTCCCCACAGAACACAGCTTCCTAAAATAAACCTTTTCATTAGATCCTTTAGCTCCCCTGGGGTCATTTCCTTAGTTCCTGCAGCGCAGTTAGCTCAGTGCTAACGCTGATTTATGGCTACTAGATTGAAGCTGTTTCTGCTAATGTAGCCGATGGTATAAATTTGTTTTAGGTTGTGGAAAACATTCAGGTTAATGTTCAAATTCCAAAAATATATATTAGCTTGTCTCCTTATCTAGAGGCTAAAATGGGGGCCTCGCTATTAGCTGGTTTTAGCCTAGCTTAGAAAATAACAAATATATCATTTTGAACAAAGTGTTGACATAATAAGGGATTATTTCAATCATAGTGTGTTTTAGTGATGTAGGAATTTAGTCTTTTAAAAGACAGAACTGACTTTATATCACCTAAAAACGACTCGGTGCTAGCAAGCTAACATCTAAGCTAGTATCTAAACCACTTTAACTTTATTATACTCTGTGATTTACATGACACAGCAGCAGAAACTATTTTATTATTTTAGTTTTTCTTATAACAACAAAAGTGCAGCATGTCGATCATAGTCTGTCTGCCTGTTTTTAACATTAAGAGGAGAAAATAAGAAGCTAACTGAGAGTTAGCTTCTTATTTAGCAGGTTATGGTTGCGTTTCTCCGTCCAGGCTGGAGTAGACGTGAACATCAGGAACACCTACAACCAGACGGCGCTGGACATCGTCAACCAGTTCACCACTTCCCACGCCAGCAAGGACATCAAGCAGCTGCTGCGAGGTAACGGCTATGCTAGCATGCTAGCAGCTAGCATGAATAAAGTGAGTCTGCGATCTAATCTGGGGACATTTCCAGCTAATAGATACAAATAAATAAATGTTATGAATATGAAACTAGGAGACGGGGACAGTTTTCATCCATTTTTACATATCTATTAATGTTTAAACAAAAACCAAGTGTGAAATCCAGGAACGCGCCTCTTCCATTTCCTAAGATAAATAATATTAATCAATAGTGATTATTAATTAGAGCTATATAATCATTCAGTCTCTGTCTTCCTCCCATGTGAGCAACAGTTCAGGCCAGTTGGCATCAATACAGAGTCTGTGAGAATTTCCCTCTTTTTCTATTCCATAAAATAAAAATGAAACTTTTATATAAATTTACAAATAAAAAAAAACATTTTTTTTTTTTAACACAATGATCGCTATAAAATAAAAGTCCTCCAGTTGTTTCTACTGCTTCCTGGTCAGCTGCAGAGCTTTGGGTCGCCTCCTGCAGCCTGGATTATAATCTGTGTCACTATTAAAAAAGTTACTTTAGATTTTTATATTCAGATTAAATTACATCTATTAAAACACATCTATAAATGTGGATCATTCTCATGAGCAGCTTGAAGCAGACACACCAAATATACGCGTTTTATTTTATTACACGTAAAGATGAATGAAAAATAATCTCTCAGGGCATAAAAATAATCTGTCCTTTAAAAAAGTAATACTGAAACCCAACAGGAATATATTTTATAAATCAAAAACAAAACTACAAGCAAGCAGTAATGATAGAGGAAGGAAATAAAAAGAAAAAATAATCCAACCTATCCATCCCACAAAAAAAAACAAAAAAAAAAAAAAAAATAAGCAGAAAGAAAACAAACACCGGATGCAGACGCAGAGGGCGCAGACCAGAGCGGGGGGGCGAAAACGCGCTCTCTACACCAAAAAAAGATTATATGCAACATTTCCCCCTCATTCATAAAACGGTAAAATCAGGGACATTTCTGGGGACAGCGTAAGCCGGGGACAGGTGGTCCAAATCGGGGACTGTCCCTGGAATCGGGACAGATGGTCACCGTTAGCATGACGACGCGCCGCCCTGCAGAGAAACGCTCTAAATGTTCTGAAGGCTGCAGATCAAAGGTCTCCACTGAGGTTCTTGGGTTCTCTGTGGATCTCTGGACTCCTGGACCAGGTCCAGACTGATGGTGACCCATTGGGTTTGGAGCTGGTCCCAGTCTGGTGGCTCCTGTTTCTCCTCCTGCTGTTTAAGATCTACTGGTTCTCCTTCGGTGGAGGTAAGGAAGAAGGTCCTGATCCACCATCCACCCATCAGCTGCTCCTCCTGATGCCGTTCTTTCTCCATGGAACCAAACCCCATCTGGACCAGGATGTCTTTTCTTCTCCAGATCTTCCAGGAGGTTTCCCTCCAGCCTTGGAGTAAAGTCCATGTTGCCCATCAGTGTTCTTCAGCAGACCTTCAGGTGGTTCTTCTTATTTTCCAGAGCTCCTCAACATGCCCAGCTGTTTCTAGGGCTGAGCAAGCTCTGCACCGGTGGAAGAGAACCTTCCTGAAAATGAGTCAGCTAACGCCACGACTGGAGGAATCTGGATCACAGCAGAACCGTTTGGACGTTCTGAAGGATCCTCAGAGAACCAGAAGCTGCTGTGGAACCTCTCAGCTGTTTCTGAGTGTCCTGCAGAGGGGTCCAGAACCTGGTCTACTGGTTCTGCTGGGTCTGCTGGTTCTGCAGGCTGCGGTCGGTGGGTTGAGGGCTTGATCTGAGGCTCTGCCTGCTGCTCTGAGCAGCAGCAGCGTTAGAAGCTCCAGAGGGAATGCTCTGAGCTGCTAACGAGCGATTTCACACGTTCCTCCTCGCCGTGCACGCTCCGCCGCCACATGCTCTGGATCCATTATTGATGAGCCTGGTTAGCAGGAGGTTTTCCTGGGAGGGAGGAGTCAGGAGCTGATTGCAGCTTCTATTTTATCCCTTTAAAGATCTCAGGCTCTGATCTAGATGCTCTGGTTCTCTGTTAGCTCAAACCCAGTGAGAGCAGAAGCAAAGTCCTCGCTGTTTGGATCCGATGGGTTTAAGCTTCTGATGGTCCACATAGCGCCCCCTGCAGGCTCCTTCAGCTCACTGTGTCTGGTTCCTCCTCAGATGCCACCGGAATCCTGCAGGTCAGAGCTCTGAAGGACCACTGGAACCTCCATGACCCCACAGCCCTGTACATCCGGGCCGGAGATGTGATCACGGTGAGCCGTCCAACCGTCATCCAACCATCC